CATATAGACGGCCCCATTGGAAGGACTCCTAAGACTGGTCTGTACAGCTCCGGCCCCGGCCCAGCTAGTCCTCCAATAACTTTCAGCCTCCACTGGCCATTAGCCACCTTCTTACACACCCCCAAGTGTAGGGACCACGCTACCTTCTGTGGCTGTTGGTTGTAGCATTAGAAATTTCTTGTGCCTACTGTAAACTGCCTACCCCAATGCATTAGAAATAAGCATAGAAGTCGAGATTTCTGTTCAGACTCATTTGCAGACCAAAGTTGAGCTTTCCTTGAGGGTAGAATGTTGATCTTTTGGCCGGGTGTGGTGGCTCACCCCTGTAATCCCAGCACTCTGGGAGGCCGAGGCAGGAGGATCGCTGAAGGTCAGGAGTTCGAGACCAGCCTGAGCAAGAGCGAGACCCCGTCTCTACTAGAAATAGAAAGAAATTAATTGGCCAACTAAAAATATATAGAAAAAAATGAGCCGGACATGGTGGTGCATGCCTGTAGTCCCAGCTACTCGGGAGGCTGAGGCAGGAGGATCGTTTGAGCCCAGGAGTTGGAGGTTGCTGTGAGCGAGGCTGATGCCACGGCACTCTAGCCCAGGTGACAGAGTGAGAATCTGTCTCAAAAACAAACAAGCAAACAAAAATAATGTTGATCTTTGCAAAAGTTCCTTCATAGCTTTGGCCGTGCATCCTGCCAATTTCCCTTCTATGTATTAACGAGCATGGTTGGGAAATATCCTAGAAGCAAAGATCCAACTTGGCTCTGTAGGATAGTAATTAATCTAGCAATTTCCTTAAATCCTTTCCATCCCTATTTGGCACGCAATATTTTAAAAGGATCTTACTAGTTGGAAAATGTGGTTGATGTTATTTTTCTAAACCTGCAGTCTCCTATAATTTTTAATATTTGCCTACATGGAAAAATATTCCGATCTAGCTACATTATTACATTACAAAATAAAATTTTTCCATGCTAAGAGGTAAAATTCAGTTGGCTAAAGATTTTTAGCAAATCAGGCAGGAATCACGTTGTGTGTAGGATAGGAAAAAAAAACACCCTGCAGTTCAAAGGGGCAGATTTTTACATTTGTTGAAGTCGTATAGATAATTAAGGAAGGAATTATAATCTGCCTTTACATAAAAGCAAATAAAGTTGCAGATCAAGTTTTGATATGGGAAGAGTCCTGTCTCAAGAGAGAGACAGCCTGGAAGAGCCGGGCTGGCCTGTCGCTTGGTTGCCCTTGACCCCTGCCAGGTTTCTTGGCGTTTCTGAACCCAGTTCTCTTGTCTGTAAAACAAGGATGTTGCTACAGACCCCGTGCACAGTCAGCGACAAAAATTGGAAAGTAGTACGATGACGAGAGCCTAGTCCAGGGATCAGCAAACTTTTTCCCTAAGGGCCAGATAGTAAATGTTTTAGGCTTTGCAGGTTATGTGGTTTCTGCCACAGCTGCTCAGTCTTGCTGATATAAGGACAAACAGACATAGATAATATGGGTTATGCGCGTGGCTTCATTCCAATAAAACTTTATTTATGGACACTGAAATTTGAACTTTATATAGTTCTCGTGTGTCATGAAATAGCCTTCTTCTTTTAATCTTTTTTTTTTCTTCTTTCTTACTCTGTTGCCCAGGCTAGAGTGAGTGCCGTGGCATCAGCCTCGCTCACAGCAACCTCAAACCCCTGGTCTCAAGCGATCCTCCTGCCTCAGCCTCCCAGGTAGCTGGGACTACAGGGATGCGCCACCACACCTGGCTAATTTTTTCTATTTATATTTTAAGTTGTCCAGCTAATTTCTTTCTATTTTTTTTTTTAGTAGAGACAGCGTCTCGCTCTTGCTCAGGCTGGTCTCGAACTCCTGACCTCAAGCAGTCCTCTCGCCTTGGCCTCCCAGCGTGCTGTGATTACAGGCATGAGCCATGGCTCCAGGCCCTTCTTTTAATTTTTTAAAAATTATTTTAAAATGTAAAAATCATTCTTACCTTATGAGCCGTGCAAAAACAGGCAGTGGTTAAATTTGGCCCAGGGGTCTGTAATTTGCCGAACCTTATAAACAAAACATTTATTGAGTGCTTACTGTGTGCCTGGCCTTGTTTAAATGCTTTGACTGTATTGACCTAGTTAACCCTCACTTCAGCCCTGTGAGGTAGATAATCCGTATCATCTTCCTTTTACAAATGGGGAAACTGAGGCTCGGAGAGGTTAAGCAGTTTGCCTAAGATCGTACCATTATTGAGAGGCAGGGCTGGGATTCAAACCTTCCGTTTCTAGAGTCTACGTTTAAAACTCCCGGCAGTATTGCTTCTCATCTATAGTGTTTTATTATGTGCTGCTTATAAAAATGTTTTTTATAAAAAAATAAATCATAAACTACAATTTGCCAGGTTATAGCGGTAAAAGCAGAAAAAGGTGGAAACGAGCCATTTCCGAGTAATAACTAGTTGCAGTCCAAAGAACAACTGCATTTGAGATATTTCGAGAATCAGCCAAGGCTTGTCATATAAGAGAGCCAAAAGAAAATCAACGTTAGAAATCTTATTTTCAAAGGGAAAGAAATATGAGTTACTTTCAGGCAGTAAATAAATAATCCATCTGTAGTCAGTCGGGACATCTAAAAGGATTCTGCAAAAAATAATTTCAACCCGAGGAAAAAGTGAATGGGGCTGGGGGTGTCTTCCTGGTAGCACATTTAAACCAAATCTCACCTGAGCAGGTGTACGGGCCTGATCTATTATTCATGTGTGGTTGTGATGTTTTATGCATGAGAGACTGGGCTGCTTCGCTGCTGACAAAAGGGCTTGGCATCCAGGAAACCAAGTCTGCATCTGTAAGTGAGACCGAAGAAAAAGAAAGACAGTGGACACAGCGCTTGGAGAATGTGGCAGGCAGGCCAGGTGTGCAGCGAGCACCTGGGGAACTTGGGTGCCAGTCCCGACTCTGCTCCTTCGTGAACCGTGAGACCCTGGGCAGAGTCTTGGCAGGGCACGGTGGCTCATGCCTGTCATCCTAGCACCCTGGGAGGCCGAGGCGGGAGGATCGCTCGAGGTCAGGAGTTCGAGACCAGCCTGAGCAAGAGCGAGACCCCCCACCCTCTAATAAAAATAGAAAGAAATTAATTGGCCAGCCAAAATATATAGAAAAAAATTATCTGGGCATGGTGGCGCATGCCTGTAGTCCCAGCTACTCGGGAGGCTGAGGCAGGAGGATCGCTTGAGGCCAGGAGTTGGAGGTTGCTGTGAGCGAGGCTGACGCCACGGCACTCACTCCAGCCCGGGCAGCAGAGTGAGACTCTGTCTCCAAAAAAAAATAGAGCATTGAGTCTTGCCCACCATTCCCAGAGTTGGTGCTCAGACTCGCTGCTGAATTAGATCAGATCAGACTGGGTAATGCTGTCGTGTAATAACGTAGCAGCTAACATATTCCAGCGTCTACTGTGTGCACCCATTTTAGAGAAGGGGAAAGTAGAGGCTCAGGGAGATTGAGAATTTAGCCTTAGGGCCACGTAGTGAGGACAGGGCAAGAATGGAGCCCAGAATCCACTCCAACATTCTTCCTCCCCCTCGTTCTGTGCGTTACGGGCGTGGATGTATTTCTTACTCATCAAAAACCTCTGTTTGAAAAAAACACAGCAACAGAGAAAAAAGAAAAAAAAAAACACAACTTTTTATAGTCGGGATTATTCTGAAAGATTCATTCTAAAGAAAGAAGGGGAATATTTCTCTTCCGGTTTCACGGGTGCCCAGGGGTCTGCTATGAAGTCCAAGCCGTTTTGCAGCCCTGGGTGGGTGAGCCTCCCAACTTCCTACAATTCTGTGATTTTCCTGTTTCCATGATGAAGCTGGCAAGCTGCCGACCGGTGGAAGATGTGCTGCCTAATTTGCTTTCCGGATCACATCTGGAAAAGGCATGCACAGGGCCACGTGCCAAGGGGAAATTTGCACCGTGGCACTTTGCAAGGCAAATGGCACAGGCTTGAGAGACAAAATGCGGGCAGATTCCTTTATTCCATTTCATCTGTGCAACAAAACAAACAAAAACAGTGGTGGTTGGGGGAGAGGGTTGGGGAGGGCCAGAAGGAATGCAGGTAGAAGGGCTCAAGTTTATGATGGGCCTCCATCAGAATTTCAAAGTACAGAGGAGGACCGCAATCATTGTGGCCACTCACAGGGACCTTTTTACGTTTTCAAAATGAAAGGACTGGGAATGTTTGGGAGAAAAAGAACAAAATAATGCTCTGGGTGATTCAGGCTTTTTATTTTATACTTTAAGCTACGTACTTGAGCTTTTTAATCCTCATAACAGCCTTACAGCCGGGCACAGCGGCTCGTGCCCATAATCCCAGCACTTTGGGAGGCCGAGGCGGGAGGATCGCTTGAGGCCCGGAGTTTGAGGCCAGCCTGGGCAACATAGGGAGACCCCGTCTCTACAGTCAGTCAATCAATAAATACACGGATACGTACATACACACATAACCTTGCAAGACACCTGCATCCCATTTTACAAGCGTAGGGCCTGAGGCTTGAACTCGGGTTCGAGTGACTTACGCGAGGCTACGCAGGCATTGCAGGCCAAATGCAAACCCAGAATTCAGAGTCCTCTCCCCCTTCCCGCCGTCATCTGCCACCTCCAGTCGCTCCCCTGGACGACAGGAAGGAAGTTCACGCGTGAGGGCAGGGAGTGCGGAAAAATCCGTCATGCTAGCACAGCACGTGTGTGCATGTATGTGCGATTTATGTTCTCCCAGGCCAAAGAACGGCGGGAAGTACTGCGTGGGGCGCAGGATGAAGTTCAAGTCCTGCAACACGGAGCCGTGTCTCAAGCAGAAGCGGGATTTCCGGGAGGAGCAGTGTGCCCACTTTGACGGCAAGCACTTCAACATCAACGGGCTGCTCCCCAGCGTGCGCTGGGTCCCCAAGTACAGCGGAAGTAAGTCCCCCGAGGGCGGGCAGCCTCAAATTACAGCCCGCGGGCCACATGCAGGACGCCAAGCACATGTATCCGGCCCGCCACCCGGTGTCTTTGCCGCCGCTGCCTGTCCTGCTTAGCAGCCGACTCGTCCCGGGCCCACAGTGCGCACTCTCCAACGGTCTGAGGGACAGTGGACTGGCCCCCTGTTTACAAAGTTTGGGGAACCCTGGCGTCTACAGCGTGCGCCTGCTTGGTCCCAGGCCCAGGCGTGGAGGTCACACCCCGTCCTGTCTCCCCTCTCTAGTTCTGATGAAGGACCGCTGCAAGCTGTTCTGCAGGGTGGCGGGCAGCACGGCCTACTACCAGCTCCGGGACAGAGTGGTGGACGGGACCCCCTGCGGCCAGGACACCAACGATATCTGTGTCCAGGGGCTCTGCCGGGTAAGTCCCAGAGGGGTTTTCTTCGCTGTGTTGTCCCCTCGCCAGGCCGGGATTCCTGGCTTTCTTGATAGAATGGCAATCGCCGATACCGTATTTCCCCGAAAATAGGACCTCTCCATAAAATAAGCCCTAGCAGCATGTCTAAGCTTTGCACAAAAGGCTGCCATGAATGGACTGACAAGGAAATCTGTACTACCACGTTTCCCTGAAAATAAGCCCTCCCCATAAAATAAGCCCCAGCAGGATGTCAGAGCATGTGCTCAATAGAAGCCCTACCCCAAAAATAAGCCCTAGTGCTGGGCGTGGCTATGAAAATAAGCCCTAGTGCTGGGCGTGGCTATGAAAATAAGCCCTAGTGATGGGCGTGGCTATGAAAATAAGCCCTAGTGATGGGCGTGGCTACGCGGCGCATCTGCACAACCCATGCATGTCGTCGTGGAGCGGGAAAGAACACGAGCAGCCCTTCTCATCTGCCCCGTGACAGCTCTAGTGCTCCACAGGAGAGATCGGGGCCAGTGGTTCTAAAGGAAATAGAGTCGCAAGACATTCAGGATGGAATTCGGGGTTTGGAGAGTGAGGATGATGTTCCAGAAGAAGACGACTTCACTCTATTTGAATCAATGTAGATGGTTGTACCGTGCTTGAAAAAAATAACACATCCCCTGAAGATAAGCCCTGGGTGTCTTCTGGAGGAAAAATAAATATGAGGCCCTGTCTTACATTTCGGGGAAAGACGGTATCTGTGCACTGGCTGCAGGGCAGTGATTCTCAAAGTGTGTTCCCTGGGCTAGCATCAGCATCAGTATGGCCTTACTCTGACGTGTACTATGCCAACGTTTGGGAACCGCTGCCCTGGATTTTTCTTGATATTTTCAGCCTCTGCAGGGAGGGCGGTGGGTCTGCACAAAACCTTCCCTTAAAGATTTGTTATGACAACGCACACACACTCTCCTTCACTTGGAACTCGGCGCTTAGGCAGATGCCTCCTGACAGCAGGTTTTCTAGCCGAATCTCTGTGCTCCGGGAAGATGTCATAAGGAATAGCTGGCCTCAGACTCCTCTTTGTGATTCTAGCCCCGGCTGCTTCTACCTGTGACGTGCCCAATGATTATTCCTGAGAGGGAATTCGAGAAAGTTCTGGCAAAGGGCAAGGCAGCAGAGCAGTGGTTTCTCAAGGGCTCGATGCCATTCCACTGGTCTTGCCAATCAAAACCAATTCCTGGGCCGGGCGGGGTGGCTCACGCCTGTAATCCTAGCACTCTGGGAGGCCGAGGCGGGAGGATTGCTCCAGGTCAGGAGTTCAAAACCAGCCTGAGCAAGAGCAAGACCCCGTCTCTACTAAATATAGAAAGAAATTAATTGGACAACTAAAAATATATAGAAAAAATTAGCCAGGCATGGTGGCGCATGCCTGTAGTTCCAGCTACTCGGGAGGCTGAGGCAGGAGGATCGCTTGAGCCCAGGAGTTGGAGGTTGCTGTGAGTGAGGTTGACACCATGGCACTCTAGCCCAGGCAGCAGAGTGAGATTCTGTCTCAAAAAAAAAAAAATTATTCTTTACCCAGCCCGGCTCTGAGATGATGTATTCATTTTTTTTTTTTTGCAAATGGTTTAAAGACAAGTTGGAGTTCCTGAATTGGTAGGGTTTGATGGAAAGAGCCCCTAAAAGCTTCACCTTCTTCCTACTCATAAATATACCGTGTTTCCCCCAAAATAAGACAGGATCTCATATTTATTTTTCCTCCAGAAGACACCCTAGGGCTTATTTTCAGGAGATGTGTTATTGTTTTTAAGTACGGTACAACCATCTACATTGATTCAAATAGAGTGAAGTCATCTTCTTCTGGAACATCATCATCACTCTCCAAATCCCCAATTCCATCCTGAATGTCTTGTGACTCTGTTTCCTTTAGAACCACTGGCCCCATCTCTCCTGTGGAGCCATAGAGCTGTCACGGGGCAGATGAGAAGGGCTGCTCGTGTTCTTTCCCGCTCCGCAACGACATGCATGGGTTGTGCAGATGCGCTGCGCAGCCACGCCCGTCACCAGGGCTTATTTTCATAGCCACGCCCACCACTAGGGCTTATTTTCATAGCCACGCCCACCACCAGGGCTTATTTTCGGGGTAGGGCTTCTGTTGGGCACATGCTTAGACGTCCTGCTAGGGCTTATTTTTTGGGTAGGGCTTATTTTGGGGGCAACACGGTAGTGTGGATTTCCTTGTCGGTCCATTCCATGGCAGCCAGATGAGTTTGTCCTCAAAGATGAGTTCACGCAAGAACAGAATGGACGGGAACGTGCACTTTGTTCCTCTGCTCCTGGCTGGTGTCCGTCTGGAGCTCAGTCTGTCCTGCTGCCCCGTGTTCATATTCAGCGAGGAAATTCCGGAGTCCACGTGCTGGGTCTGAAGCCTCAACTGGCAGCTCGCACCCTGCTTTGTCTTGCATTCACAGCCTATCTGTAAACCTAGGGGATTCCACATGAAATCAGGTTTCCCAGCTTCCCTTGAAAAATTGGAGGATGTCAACTCGGGGTCCTGTTTCTGCCGTGGGCAGCGGCTGCTCTCTCAAGACGAGGCGTGAGTCCTTAGTGACAGTCCTTACCTCGCCGCCTTGTTCTCAGTTGCGAGGGGTGCTTTTTGTTGTTGTTGTTGATTCTGCTTATGTATAGGCTAGTGCTTCTCTAAGTTTCATCTGTAGATGAAGCAGCTGGAGAATTCTGTTAAAACGCAAACTCGGGAGACCTGGGTGGGCCCGAGGTTCTGCATCCCGAATAGCATCAAGCATGCCCAGGGCTGCTGGTCTGAGGACCAAATTTTATTTTGTTTTGTTTTATTTTATTTTATTTTATTTTATCTTATCTTATCTTATCTTATTTTATCTTTTATTTTATTTTATCTTCTTTTATTTTACCCTATTTTATTTTGTTTTATCTTATTTATTGATCGATTGATTAATTGATTGATTGAGACAGAGTCTCACTTTGTTGCCCAGGCTAGAGTCAGCCTCGCTCGCAGCAACCTCCAACTCCTGGGCTCAAGCTATCCTCCTGCCTCAGCCTCCCGAGTAGCTGGGACTACAGGCATGCGCCGGCTAATTTTTTCTGTATATTTTTAGTTGTCCAGATAATTTCTTTCTATTTATAGTAGAGATGGGGTCTCACTCTTGCTCAGGCTGGTCTCGAACTCCTGACCTCGAGCGATCCTCCCTCCTCGGCCTCCCAGAGTGCTGGGATGACAGGCGTGAGCCACCTCGCCCGGCCCTCACCAGGACCACATTTTAAACCGCAAGGCCTTGTGCACTTTGAGGTCACAATCCTTGCAAGGTCAAAGGGGGGACTTCTCTTTTGTTGTCATTTGAATGCACGCCATTCAAAGAGACGCATGAGTTGCCGTTTTAAAATCGCTGTGATGCTTACCATTTATTTCAAATGTTTTCTTTCTAAAAGCAAGCCGGATGCGATCACGTTTTGAACTCAAAGGCCCGGAGAGATAAATGCGGGGTTTGTGGCGGCGATAATTCCTCGTGCAAAACGGTGGCGGGAACGTTCAATACGGTACATTACGGTAAGCATGTGCTCCTGACAACTCTGAAATGTCCAATGTCCAAAGAATTGGCCAAAGTCTGCAAATTGGGAAGCACGTGTTATATGCTTAACCCTTTGCACTAGATTGCTTTTTTTTTTTTTTTCTCATTACCCACTTGACATCATGCGCACGCGACATCGCGTGCAAAGGGTCATGCCTATAACCGGTCCCGTTATGGTGCGTTATCTGTCTGACCATAAGGCACCGGGAAGAATTATATGAGAATAATTCTATTTATGTTCTTTGCCTGCCCACCTTGTATTGCATACTTGCACGCATCCCCCTGGAATCCTGAGTTTCTGGTACATTCTCTGCAGGTTACAACACCGTGGTCCGGATTCCAGCCGGCGCCACCAACATAGATGTCCGGCAGCACAGCTTCTCAGGGAAGTCGGAAGACGACAACTACCTAGGTGAGACCCGCCGTCTGTCCCCTGCCGTCGCCCGGAATCTGGTTCTCTGCGGCGGCTGGCTTAAGGGGCTTCCTTCCGCTGCAGAGAGCCAGGAGGAGAACTGCCCAGTGTCGCTCACGGGTTGTCGCAAAAGAAGTCGATCTTGCAAATTCGTTATTTCTCCCTGGTGCACACGCCATCAGAGTTATTCATTTAAGGGTTCTGTCGTTGCACTGTTGGATACCAGGGGATTTAGTCTCCATCTGGCAAAATAGAACGGCCTCGAGTGAAATTCTGAAAGCGCTTACCCTCTAAGTTTAGCGTAAAATTATTGCTCCTATTGGGTCTTTTAAATAATATGTCCTGTGGGTGAACTGGCTTGCAAGTATTTTATTAGAGGCATTACTTAACTTGATTTTTTTTTTTTTTTTTTTTTTGAGACAGAGACTCACTCTGTCACCCGGGCTAGAGTGAGTGCCGTGGCGTCAGCCTCGCTCACAGCAACCTCCAACTCCTGGGCTCAAGCGATCCTCCTGCCTCAGCCTCCCGAGTAGTAGCTGGGACTACAGGCATGCGCCACCATGCCTGGCTTACTTATTTTTTTTCTATATCATTTTAGTTGGCCAATTAATTTCTTTCTATTTTTAGTAGAGACGGGGTCTTGCTCTTGCTCAGGCTGGTCTCGAACTCCTGACCTTGAGCGATCCTCCCGCCTGGGCCTCCCAGAGTGCTGGGATGACAGGCGTGAGCCACCGCGCCCGGCCAGGGCATAATATCTTACTCGGAATTAATTGCTCAATGCTTGCACTGGCTTTCCGCCACCCCAAATATGCAAAGGAGTGTTGACTTTATAAGAGAATTAACAAACTTCATGGCGGCTGTTTTCAAATTATTTTGGGGGAAATCAGCATTTCTCCTACCACCAACATGTAAAATCTTTATTTTATTTATTTTTTTTTTTTCATATGCTTGGTCATAAATTTGAGCACGTGGCTGCTGTATTCTTACTACTTGTAATTAAATCAAGCCACATTGCACGCAGGCTCCTTTATAAAAGTTGATTTCCAGAGAGCCGAACGCCACAGCGAGTTGCTCCTCTCTTCTCCTCTCTCCTCCCTTCTTCTCCTTCTTGGAAAAACAACCTCCCTCCGAACAGTGGCCTCAGTTCGGTTCCACTGAACCAGCCCGCCTGGGGCGTCTGAATTCGGCGGGGCCTCCCGATAACTTTTTATTTCTTCCCTGGAGGTTTCTTGATCTCCTTGGAGAGAATGGAGACGAAATTAAAGAAGATCCGGCGTCGGGGACAGGCGGTCCGAGCCAGTGGTGGCTCGTTAGTGGGGCATCCTGGGGACGCCACCTGTTGGCTTTGGAAAGCGTTTCTGGACGCGAATGCAAAGCGTGCACGCGTAGACACCAAGTCACGGGCCACCGGGTGCCAAAGTCACAGCCTCAGAGCCTTGGAACCTCCCGGGGGCTACTTCTCAAGCTAGGAAGAATTCGATGTTGTCGTCACGTCTGGAGTGTGTCAGTGCTTGCTCTTGGCCCCCAGGAAGGTGCAGCCAATGGGCTAGAAGGTTCCACAGCCCGCGCCGCGTCTTGCCGGAGTCCGGTCCCAGCTGTTCCGTTGCTAAGCCATCTTCATCCCCATCCCTCGTGGGCTTTTTTATTTTTATTTTTATTTTTATTTTTATTTTTATTTTTATTTGTATTGTAAACTTTTTTGAGACAGAGCTCGCTCTGTGCCCAGCTAGAGTGCCGTGGCGTCAGCCTCGCTCACAGCAACCTCCAACTCCTGGGCTCAAGCGATCCTCCTGCCTCAGCCCCCAGTAGTGTACTGGTCTGCCAGCCCGCATTAATTAGTTGGGCCAATTCATTTCTTTCTATTTATAATAGAGACGGGGTCTCGCTCTTGCTCAGGCTGGTTTCGAACTCCTGACCTCAAGCAATCCTCCTGCCTCGGCCTCCCGGAGTGCTAGGATTACAGGCATGAGCCATGGCACCCAGCCTATTTTTTTATTTTTTGAGACAGAGTCTCCCTCTATCCTCCCGGGCTAGAGTGAGTGCCGTGGCATCAGCCTCGCTCACAGCAACCTCAGACTCCTGGCCTCAAGCCATCCTCCTTCCTCAGCCTCCCAAGTAGCTGGGACTACAGGCTTGCGCCACCATGCCCCACTCATTTTTTCTCTATATATTTTTAGTTGTCCAATTAATTTCTTTCTATTTTTAGTAGAGACAGGGTCTCGCTCTTGCTCAGGCTGGTCTCCAACTCCTGACCTCGAGCGATCCTCCCGCCTCGGCCTCCAAGGGTGCTAGGATGACAGGCGTGAGCCACCGCGCCCGGCCTAGAGTATGTGAATGTTGACTGTTGGCTTCAAGGAAGGTGCAGCCAATGCCCGAGAAGGTTCTACAACCCATGCCGTGTTTTGCGGGAGTCTGGTCGCAGCTGTTCCGTTGCTGAGCAATCTTCAACCTCATCCCTCGTGTTTTTTTTTAAACATCAGTCAAGCCATACTTTCCTGCATGTTTTGGTGAGGGAGCAATTTCCAGGAGAAGGGGACTTGGAAGCCACCCAGCTGTCATGGGTGCAATGGGAGGGACCAACCCAGGAAATTAGCTCCCCAATCCCATTAGTGGGAGGTTGAGCCTGCAGACTATTGTTCTCAGGAAATGATTTATTTCACAAGGTACCAAAGCAAAGGTCAAAAGGACTACAGGCATGCGCCACCATGCCCGGCTAATTTTTTCTATGTATTTTTAGTTGGCCAGTTAATTTCTTTCTATTTATAGTAGAGACGGGGGTCTTGCTCTTGCTCAGGCTGGTCTCGAACTCCTGACCTTGAGCAATCCTCCCGCCTCGGCCTCCCAGAGTGCCAGGATGACAGGCGCGAGCCACCGCACCCGACCACAGAGTAGTACATTCTTGACTTAAAGTTTGGATTACTCCAGTAAAATCTGAAAGGGAGTCAATTTTTAAACAACTTTCAGAGGATTCATTAACTTTAGCAAGAATCTCTCTTGGTCCCTTGATAAATAAATTATTCTTTCCAAAGCAGCTATTATCTGATCCTCCTTATCAATTTCCTTTCCTTTTCTTTGTGTGTTTTTTCTCTTAGCTTTATTGAAGTACAGTTGCCAAATAAAAATAGTATGTATTTAAGGGGCTCAACTTGGTATTTGATATTGCTAGCCGTTGTAAAATAATCACCAAAACCAAGCTAATTAAGGTCTCTGTCACCCCACATAATTACCATTTTCTTTTGTTTTTTTTTTGTTTCTTCATTCTTTCATTCATTCTTCGCTCCTTCCTTCCCTCCATTCTTTTTTTTTTTTTAACGTATGTATGTCGTGTGTTTGGCGGGAACACTTAAGACCTTAAGTAAGTACCCGGAAGTACTTAATTAAGTACCTTAAGTAAATTTCAAGTATGTAGCACAGTGTGGTGAACTAGTTGCACTGTCTTATGTCAGAATGCATGCATCTTGCATAATTGAAACTTTGTAGCCTTTGACCAGCACCTCCCCATTCTCCCTCCCTCCTGCTATGAGTTCGGCTACTTTAGATGCCATCACTGGTCTAACTTTGTCAGGTCCTCATTTGGACATCATGTTGTCACTTGATTCAAAAAAATTCTTCAGCGTCACTTTTTCAGTGCCACTGATTTCTTTTTTTTTTTTTTTTTTTTATCTTTCACAAGATGTGGAGAGCACCCGGCATGTGCTTTTTCAGAAGCTGTGGTATAGCAGTGAGTAGAACAGTCCGCCCTGCTTGCCCTCCTGCAGCTTAAATTCTTCTTTGGACAGAGATAGAGCATAAATCAAAAAGTGGCACAGAGAAAAATTAGGGTGGGAAAAGGAATAAGCAATATGAGATCGGTGCTGGGAGTGGGAGGAGGTTGTAGTTTTAAAAAGAGTGGAATTATTTGTTCTAAATGCTCATTGGTGTCCTAAAAAAAAATAAAAAATAAAAAAATATGGGCCGGGCGCCGTGGCTCACGCCTGTGATCCTGGCACTCTGGGAGGCCGAGGCAGGAGGATCGCTCGAGGTCAGGAGTTCGAGACCAGCCTGAGCAAGAGTGAGACCCCGTCTCTACTAAAAATAGAAAGAAATTAATTGGCCAACTAAAATATATATAGAGAAAAAATTAGCTGGACATGGTGGCTCACGCCTGTCATCCTAGCACTCTGGGAGGCCGAGGCAGGAGGATCGCTGGAGGTCAGGAGTTCGAGACCAGCCTGAGCAAGAGCGAGACCCCGTCTCCACTAAAAATAGAAAGAAGTTAATTGGCCAACTAAAAATATGTGTAGAAAAAATGAGCCGGGCGTGGTGGCGCATGCCTGTAGTCCCAGCCACTCGGGAGGCTGAGGCAGGAGGATCGCTTGAGCCCAGGAGATGGAGGCTGCTGTGAGCGAGGCTGACGCCACGGCACTCACTCTAGCCTGGGCAACAGAGCGAGACTCTGTCTCAAAAAAAGAAAATAAATAAATTTAAAATAATAAAATAAAATAAAATATAAAATAAAATAAAAAAGATAAAAAATAAAAAGAATGGCCTGGGCAGGTGTGTATTAATCTTTTACCGCGTAACGAGCTATCTCAAGACGTAGTGGCTTGGAACAACAAATACCTACCGTCTCTCAAAGTCTTATGTCAGGAAACCAGCAGCGGCGTAGCTGGGCATTGGTGGCTTGAAGTTTCTCGTGCGGTTATCATAGTCGGGATGGCAGGCAGGGCCGTGGTGTTATCCGAGGGCTGGACTGGGGCCGGAGGATCCACAGCCTGGACAATCCGGAGCCTTTGGCAGAAGTCTCTAGCTTTTCACCGATGTTTGCATGAGGCCCCTGCCTGGGCTTCTCGAGTGACCTTACGGCGTGGCAGCCGGCTTCTCCCAGGGCCAGAAACCCCAGGGAAGAGCCAGGCGGAGCCGCCGTGCCTTTGACCTTGCCTCACTCAGAAGCTGCACTCTGTCATTTCTGCATTAATCAATCCAAGTAATTACACAGAAATTCCTGTCGATTGTGGGAGAAGATGACCCAGAGCGTGAATGCCAGGGAGCAGAGATCTTCGGGGACCGTGTTTGGGGCTGGCTACCGCGGTGAGCCTCGCGGAAAGGGCGACATTTGAGCATCCTGCCAACCAAGCATTTCCCAGATTTCGGCGTCTGCCGGAACGAAGATTTGATAGGCTCGACCGATTCTGAAATATATATGGAGAGATTTGTGTAGGAGCCAAACTTTATATGAGTGTTCACTTTACCGGGACACATTTTCCAATCGTCACACTTGAGCTTCCTTTTCTATGAATACAGTCCTCTAACGATGGGTCTTGTATAATGGGAGCCCCTTTATCATGTCTTGTTTTTCCCAGATGCCGTAGATATACAGGGGGTTTTGTCTCCGTTTTAGAGATGAATGGGGACTGACAGAGGGACAGTGGTCCCTAAACGCTGCCGAGTGGCAGGTTCAGGATCCGAGCCCGCCTGGTGTTAGGGACCGACCTTCCACAGCCCCACCGGACAGAAAAGCAGAGACATCGAGGGTGTAATTGCACAAGAGGAGGTTTCTTTTCTGGCTAGCCAGGGTCCAAGCCCCAGAGCGCCAACGCAGTGGCCACTCTCGCAGGCAAGGACCCCGACCGGGGTCGCAGCGGGCCTTTTATCCCCACGGTGCACACGCTGTGCATTGGCTGATCACGCGTGGATCATGCACTGACCTTTAACATGGTTGGTTGGCTGGTGGCCCCACTATACAGGGGTCCGAACAATGCAAAGTTGGTGCAAACAAGCAAGCAAGCAACGGTTTCCAGAAGCCGGATGTTGGTTCCGGCTTCACTGGGGGTGCGGGCCTTGCAGGTGTGCAGTGTCTCGGCCCCTCACACTGGTCCCGAGTCCACGTGCTCTGCGCCGGGGCTCTGCCCACGAAGGCGTCACCCCCTGTCTCAGACAGGTAGCCGTGGGCAGCGGATTCACGGATTCTCTCCCCCTCCCCAGCTTTATCCAGCAGTAAGGGCGAATTCCTGCTCAACGGAGACTTCGTGGTCACCATGTCCAAGAGGGAAATCCGCGTGGGCAACGCCGTGATCGAGTACAGCGGCTCGGACAACGTGGTGGAGAGAATCAACTCGACGGACCGGATCGAGCAGGAGCTCCTGCTGCAGGTGAGGCCCTGGCCGTGACCGGGCCCGCCACGCGCCGTCCTTCCTCCCCGCGGGGCCCGTCACCGGCCCGCGAACCTCCTCTCTGTCCCCTCCGTCCCCTCCAGGTGCTGTCGGTGGGGAAGTTGTACAACCCCGACGTGCGCTATTCCTTCAACATTCCCATCGAAGACAGACCTCAGCAGTTTTTCTGGAACAGCCAGGGGCCCTGGCAAGCGTGCAGCAGGCCCTGCCAAGGTACCTGCTTGGGTTGGACGTCGGGGGGAAGGAGGGATCTCAAAGAGTTTTAAAAATCTCTTTCTTTTTTTTTTTTTTTAAAAAAAAGAACAGCCAAATCCGTGCAGTCCGTCCGGGAGCCTTTCTATCTGCGTGTGTCCTGTCATCAGCTTTCTCTGACTCTATCTGGTCGTTTTGGGGGGCTGGCAAGTTGAATTTTATAAGGGCAGGGGGGTCCTCAAACTTTGTAAACAAGAGGGGCCAGGTCACTGTCCCTCAGACCGTCGGAGAGTGCGCACTGCGGGCCCGGGACGAGCCGGCTGCTAAGCAGGACAGGCAGCGGCGGCAAAAACACCCGGTGGCGGGCCAGATACATGTGCCAGGTGGCCCGCATGTGGCCCGAGGGCCGTAGTTTGAGGACCCCCATTTAAGGGATTTGTCCATGTGTGTAAAACCAAGAAAAATCAGCTCTACCACGTTTATTCTCTAAGAACATGGTTTTAGAAGTCGTATCCTATATTATTTATCTTGTTTTCCTTGTATCTAAATTAGGGGTTGGCAAACTCCAGCCAGGGGGCCAAGTCCAGCCTGCTGCCCGCTTTTATAAATAAAGTTTTATTGGCACACAGCCGTGCTCATTGGTTTAGGTGTCATCTATGAGCAGCTGCTTGTGCCTTGTCATGGCAAGATCGAGTAACGAGTAAGGCGACAGAGATCATACGGCCCCAAAAGTCCGGCCCTGCAGAGAAAATATTTGCCAACACCTGGTGGAAATAGTTTCTGGAACGGATTAATTTCCCTGAGTAATTTTTTTTTTTTTCTTCCTCCCTGCTTAGGGGAACGGAGACGAAAACCAGTTTGCACCAGGGAGTCCGACCAGCTTACCGTGTCCGATCAGAGATGCGACCGGCTGCCCCAGCCAGCGCCCGTCACGGAGCCCTGCGGCACAGACTGTGACTTGAGGTGGGGACCGCTGCTTTCCCTGGGGTCTTTACCGCTGGGCCGAGAGGGTCTCGTGCGACCCCCTGCGTGTGAGAAGGGGACGGGGGCGGGGGGGATCCTGGTCTCCGGTTCCCTTTTCTTGCGTTTCAGCGATATAAGCGTTAGCCAATTCCCCATCCCTCCGGAGCTGAGCTGATCATCCGTCCCATATGCATGCGGACTCCTTGTTCGCCCGAAAATTAAAAATAGCTGGTAGAGCAGGGCACTAGCCAAAAATAAAAATTCTCGTTTGATCCTCACAACTCACTAGCGAGGTATTAGCACCCTGACCGAGTCACCTCGTATGCAAAAATTTGGGTTGGAAGTCAAAAGAAAAGGGGAGAGCCTCGTCCCTTGAAGTACCGATCCTGTTCTGTATCCATCTAGAATGTGCGCTGCCCCGCACAGAACTCCTATGCGCGTAAAAGTCTCAATGCACTAAGGCAGCATCGTGGGAGGAGCAAGAGGAAAATCTACATGCAGGTGTCTCGATACTCAAACAATTCTATGTCTAAGAAACATATGGTAGGCCGGGCACGGTGGCTCGCACCTGTCATCCTAGCACTCTGGGAGGCTGAGGCGGGAGGATCGCTCAAGGTCAGGAGTTCGAAACCAGCCTGAGCAAGAGCGAGACCCTGTCTCTACTAGACATAGAAAGAAATTAACTGGCCAACTAAAAATATATAGAGAAAAAATTAGCCAGGCATGGTTTCGCATGCCTGTAGTCCCAGCTGCTTGGGAGGGAGGCTGAGGCAGGAGGATCGCTCGAGCCCAAGGGTTTGGAGGTTGCTATGAGCGAGGCTGACGCCATGGCACTCACTGTAGCCTGGGCAACAAAGTGAGACTGTGTCTCAAAAAAACAAAACAAAACAAAACAAAAAAACCAAAAGAAACCAGCCTGAGCAAGAGCAAGACCCCGTCTCTACTAAAAATAGAAAGAAATTAATTGGCCAACTAATATATATAGAGAAAAAATTAGCGGGACATGGTGGCGCATGCCTGTAGTCCCAGCTACTGGGGAGGCCGAGGCAGGAGGATCGCTCGAGCCCAGGAGTTTGAGGTTGCTGTGAGCGAGGCTGACACCATGGCACTCACTCTAGCCCGGGTGACAGAGTGAGACTCTGATTCAAAAAAGCAATAAAATAAAATAAAGAAACATGTGGTATCCGGGGCAGGAAATATTGGGTGCATGGAGGATTCGAAAGCTTTCCCATTTGCCTGTAAGGTTGACTGTGTCCTGTTCAGACACTAAGTCGGCTGGGGCTTGTCTTGTAGAGTCGTCTTGGCAGCGAAATGCAGGGAAAGTTGTTGGTTGAAAGGTGAGTTGTCGTTTTAGTCTCCTTCTGAGAGGAGAAATGCTCAGCGTGGGGTGGCATGGGGCTGTGTCAACTCACCGTTCGGAAGCAGCCGATGGATGCTCGAGCGTCTCGAAGGTTCCTCATGACCGCGTCAAGTCCCATCAAGTGGCTTTGGCTGCCTGGAGTGCGGATTTATAAGGCCCTCTCTCCTGAGGATCCCAGAGAAGAGAGCAGTGCTGCGATCGATTAGTGATGCCTGCCGCGGGAGTGGGAAGGGCAGCTGTGGGTGCGAGTGCCGTGTGTGACCAAGGGCTCCGACATCGAAGCCCGGGATTTCTGCACCCTGCGGCGCCTCCCCTGACTTGCTTGGAGAGAGGAACACCTAAGGATCACCACAGTTTAGAGGAATAACGAGAAACCATCGTTTTCTTGAGTGCCTGCCGTATGTGCTTTGCCGTACTGGAGCCCCCCAGATAGCCCTGTGGAATGTGTTCTGTTTCCCCCCATTTCGCAGATGGGGAAACTGAGGCTCTGTGCTGTCGAGCGACTCATCCAGGGTCCCTTAGTTTAACAGGTGGCATTCACACCCGGGCCTTTCTGATTCCATAGTTTTTAAAAATAATTTCACTTAAGTTGGACTAAAGTGTCTTTGAAGCAAAGAGAAAAAAAAAATAAGAAGGAAAAATGTAAATAAAATTTAAAAATAATAATAATAATTTCATGACACCTACGTAAAAGTTTCTCCGTTTGATGTCGTAGGCATGCCAAATATGCTATTCTGCATTCCTCACTCAGAAAAGGGCACTAGTTTTTTAGCACTTAGCTTTTGTTTTCTAAACTCTACTGAGACCAGAAGAGAACCAGAGAGTCAGATCGCAGGGTTGGAGGGTAATAGAAGCACCTCTGACTGATTAAAGAAAAGAAGATAAAGGGATCGTGGCGGTGTCCTTTGGTAGAAGTGAAGCCCAGGCCGGGCGCGGTGGCTCACGCCTGTCACCCCAGCCGATTCGAGCCATGGGTAGCCCCGATGCACTTACAAATGAAAGAATACAAACGATTTAGCATTAGTTTGCGCCTGTCCTGAAGAGGCGCGTGTTCTCTACAAAATTACGGAAGGTCATG